TGGGGGGGGAGGAGAAGCGGGGGGTGGGCTGCGGCATAGGTTACAGAGGCTGCCCCAACTGTTGAACTTTCACTCTGCAAACTGGTCCAAGAACTTGAGGTAGGCCTGGCGCTGGGGTGCAGCCGCTGGAATGAAGTGGCCACCAGAATGGGTGAGGGTGATGGCTCCAGGGAATCGGCTAGCCAGTTGCATACTCTCCTGAGAGGGGATGACGCGGTCTGTGTCCCCAAAAACATGGAGCGAAGGCAGTGACAAGGGGCTCTGCAGGATGGATTCCTTGAGTCCAAGGCCCCGGGGACAGAAACCAGATACCAGGATAATAAACCGCGGCAAGGGGAAGCGGGGATCGCCTTCCTGGCCCAGAGCACACACAAGGGCTGCTAGTGCAGCCCCTTGACTGAAACCAAGGAGCCCGTCAAAGGGCCCCAGCTTGTTCAGTGCCTGTGCCACCGTTTCCAGGGCTTCGTCCAGACCTCTGCACACTGTGGGCTCTTCCAGTGCGTTGAAAATGTTTGCGTCCTGGTCTGAAAACCACCAGCCTCGAGGCTGCTCCTCCAGAAGACAGGGCCCTACAGCGATATGGAGGAAGAGGATGGGATTAGGGCAAGAGCGAATCCGGGGGTGGGGGTAATGAGAAAGGGATGGAGGGTTTGGGAATGAAGAGAGAAAGAGAGGACTGAGGAGAGAAAGTCTGGGGGAAATGACGGGGAAACGAATGGGGCATGAACTGGACACCGAGAGACAGAAGCCTGGGAGGGGAAGGCAGGAGTCTGAGCGACAGGAGCTGTGTAGGAGGGCTGCGGGCAGAAGACAGGAGGGGGGGTATGCTGAGGGATCTCAAGGGGACGAGGCAAGACGGAGAAGACACTCTGGGTGCCTGCCCGGAGCAGGGCTCCTCTCACCGCCGTCCGGCCCGGCGCCCACGGGGCCCGTTGCGTCGGGAACCGCGTGCGGGCCGCCGAGGCACACGAGCTCCGCACGGCCCCGCAGGGCCTTCCTCAGCGCTCCAGTCTTCTCGCGGAAGCCCCGCTCGCTCTGCCGGAAGCCCGCCAGGCACAAGACCCGCAGCGGCTGCCGAGCGGCCATAACGCCGGGCAGCCCGCTACAGAAGCACCGGAAACGGACTTTCCCCGAGCGGAAGTAGAATGCAAGGGGCGGAATCAAATGCCAGCACCACCCTGAAGGCGGGCCTCGCCGCGAGCGGGCGTTCCCATGACAACAGGCAGGGGCGGCGGCAGCCAGAGCAGGGGCGGATACCTGGGACCCCCGGAGCGTGTCAAGGAGCGAGCGGTGCCACCTTCTCGTCTCTGCAGCTGCAGTCCTCGCAGTCCGCGACTGGAGAAGGGCGAGTGGACCCCTCCTGCACCTGAGCCCGCAGACTTTGGTCAGGGTCTCGCATCTACGACGTCCTCCACTGCGTTCCCGTGCATTTCCCGTCGCGGCCGCAGGGCGGCGGCCTCGGCTCATGCCGCCAGGCAGGAGGCCAGTGCCAAGGCCGTGCCCAGAGCTGCCTGCCGCTCATCCCTCCTTGAAACCCCCGCCTACCTTCCCCAGCGCCGGCCGCCCCGAGGCCTGGGGGGGCCGGTCCCGCCCGTGGTTCACCGTCCACGGTCCCAGGGAGCTGCCAGCGTAGAAGTCCATCGGGTAGGGCTGCTGCCAGGAAATGTCCCTCAGGGCCACGGCCGCCTAGGAGAGGAAAACCGGACAACATTTTTCTGCGCCTGGATTACTGAATTCAATCCTCACAACGGCATATGAAGGGCATATTATCCTCACACCACAGAAAGGAAATATGGGGCTCAGAGGGGTTAAGGGACTTGCTTAAGTCCACACAGCTAGAAAGTGGCTCAGCTGGGGGATTCAAGATAGTCTGAACCTGTGAACGTAACTAAGTGCTGTCTGCCTGCACCACTCCACGTTGGACCCCTCCCTTGACAGAAGGAGGGGGAAAGCCCACTCTCTCCCAGGGATGATCAAAATTTGGTGTTACCTCATAGGGTGTCAGCAGCGGCTTAGGGAAGGTTGTGCCCCAGTCAATGGAGAGGCGTGGACATGCCACCTGCACCCACCTGGGAAGGGAAGCCAGGTCAGACCCTAGGTGGGCCTCCTCCTCTCCTGGGCAGCATGCTGAAGAACATGACAGTGTCCCCAACATACCCAGTAATTAATAGTATTTATTAATCTTTTTTTTTTTTTCTCCTTTTTGTCTTTTTTTTCGTGTCTGGCAATGGATCACAACCCTCAGTGTCGCACCCGTACCGGACCGGGACTGGCAACGGGATCGCAACCCTCGGTGCCGCACCCACACATCGCTCAGCCAGTGAGCGGGAACCGGTCTGCATGTGGGATCCGAACCCTCGGCGGGAGCGCCACCATGCTCTCAAGTGGCGCACTGTAGCAGTGCGCCACCGGGCCGGCCCCAGTATTTATTAATCTTAAAGACTGTCACCAACTGCTGTATTGTTGCTTTGTTTCCTCCACTGACTGCGTTTTCTTGAGGGCAGCTCATTTGTGACAGTATCCCCAGAACCAGATTTTGTGCCTGGTATAGTACAAGTGCCAGCCACCCCTCAAACTCATCTCATACAGAACAACTATGAAGTTGCCATTGCCTCTGAGTCCCAAAGCCAGACCAAGCAGGCATGACCCACAGCCAAGAGTAGCCCTGCTAGGTAAGTGCTCTGTAAACATCACAATTTTGTGACCTTGGAAGCAATTCCCATTGCTGCCAACATTCAATATGTGCTGGCCAGGACCCAGCTTCTAAGCTTCTTTACCAGAGTCATAGCTAGGTTGGTAAGGTGGGGAAACTTACACATCTACCTCAGGAAGTAGGCTAAGCTTGCTGGGGAAGATCTCAGAGAGCAGCAGCCTCACGAAGGGAAGTTCCAAGGCTCGGAGTCGAGATTCCAGGTGCTATTGGGAGAGGGAGGCAGAGCTGGGTCACCATAATCAAGCAGCCAAAGCTAAATCCCTCGGTCTACTGATTTTCCCAGCTGGGTTTCCAGTCAGTCCCCTCCCACAGAGGCCATCCTTAGTCCTCTGACCTCCAGGATCTTTGGACTGCCCTGGCGGCCCAAAGTGCCCAGAATAAGGCCCCAGGATTTAGCTGAGGAGGCAGTGGCTATGGCTTCTTGGCGGGCAGCCTGCATGCGCTGATGGTCATAGTGCTCTCTGGACAGGACTTTGCTGTACGGGTCATACCTGGAAAAGAAGCTGACGGGGTCACTGTGACAGCCACTATCAGGACTCCCACTGTATACATGGTTCCCTGACTCAGCCCCTTGGCCTCCTGAACCTTTGGCCCCCATGCAGGTAATTAGGAACAGAGGCTACAACAGGGATTGTCACTGAGAAGATCAGTCCCACAGCAGGAGCAGACAAGAGTTGGGGAAGGTTTTAGGATCTTAGTGTGAATCCCAGGGGATGAGCAGGCAACAGCAGCCCTGGGCCTAATGCCCAGATCCAGGGCCCAAGTGCCTCAGACCCTTAGGGCTGGAGGCTGTTTAGTGGCCAGGGAATGAGGAGGTTTCAGCTGATTGAGGGCCTCGGTGGAAGGGAATCTCACTCCTTGTCAGCTGGTAGCCCAGCTCAGCCTGGCCCATACCGGTAAGCGGGGACATTGGGATTGGCAATCATGACTGACTCCAAATGGAAGCGGCCATCTCCAAGATACCTGCAGGGGGAGGAGAGGAGGCTGTGAGTGTGGTGTGGGGCAGCAGAAGAGGCCCTCTGTTGCTCAGAGGTCCAGAGAACTGAGTTCTCAGCCGGCTGTGCTGCTGACTCTGTGTAAACTAGGACGAGTCATCATTTCACCTCTCGGGGCCTTAGTCTTCTCATGTGTAAAATAAGGAGTTTGAATTGGATGACTGTCAGGTCCCTCTAGTTAAGTAATGCAGAATCTAAGAACTGCCCTGCCCCAGTGTTCTGGGGGAAGAGTGAAGGAACAGCCACGGACATGGTAAGGCCACCTGGGGCTCTAGAGATCCTAATTTGGAAGTTGAGGGACAGAGTCCCCCTTACCAAGCTCAATATAGATGTAGGAAGTAGTGTTCAAGGTGTCACCTATGCTGTAAATGAGGTTTCAGGGTATACACTGGCTACTCTCTGCCCAAACTAGCTCTTGGGTCCAGTTACTGAGTTATAACAACAGCTACTATTTTTGGACTTGTGCCTTCTGTGCAGCAGGCCTCAACTAAGTACCTGATGTGTATGAGTTCACTCAGTCCTATCAAATAATCTTCCAAGATACTTATAGTATCCCCATCTTACAAAAGATACAACTGAGGAGCCGGCCCGTGGCTCACTCGGGAGAGTGCGGTGCTGATAACACCAAGGCCATGGGTTCGGGTCCCTACATAGGGATGGCCGGTTGGCTCACTTGGGAGAGTGTGGTGCTGACATCACCAAATCAAGGGTTAAGATCCCCTTAAAAAAAAAAAGTTAAAAGTGGGTTCGGATCCCATATAGGGATGGCAGTTTAGCTCACTGGGTGAGCGTGGTGCTGACAACACCAAGTCAAGGGTTAAGATCCCCTTACCGGTCATCTTTAAAAAAAAAAAAAAAGATACAACTGAGGTTCAGGGATGCTAAGAAATTTGCCCAAAGTTACACAGCTATGAAGGACCTCAATTCTGATGAATTGCCAACACTCAGGGTGTCCCTCCCTCCAACAAACACCTTGAAGCCTCCGAGAGTAGGCATCTATGAGCTCAGAGTTATGCAGGCACAGGCACAGGGAGAATGTTACTTGGGGAGAAGGGCTGCTGGCATCCCACTTGGGCTGGGGGAGGCCCTGATGTAGGCCTGTCTAGAGGCAGGGTTGTCCTACGTGGGCAGGAAGTCCTGTGGGACCAGTATTCAAAGCCCAGAGGTGGGGCTGAGTTGGGGAGTGCCTCTCCCTCCCTCCCTGCTATTAGCTGGGAAGGCGTCCCTCCCCAGTCCCAGCCGGGGGAGCTGTCGACTCTGAGGCTGGCTGCATTCACACAACATTAAGCATTTCCATTACCTAAAATAATTAGGCAGCAGGAGACACGCTGCTCCTGCTTGTTAGCTGTCCGGATGCTAAATTAATGGGGCTGCAGCCTGGGCGTGCCCATCCATCTTTTCCAATTATATTCCCACCATTTCTAGCCCATCCTCATCGCCCCACCAGGCCCTCTGATTCCTGTCCCCATCCCTGGCATAACCTTCTGGATGGTGGACAGAGCACTGGAGAGAGAGACAGTAGTCCCTGAAGTCTAGTCCCTGTTTGGTCTCCACTTTATAGTGTGACGTTGGGCAAACAAGTAAGAAGCTTTAGCCTCAGTTTCCTTTCCTGTATGATGGAACCCAGGCTCCCTCTCAGCATGCATTTTTGTGTCTCTATTACTTGACCCCCTTTTGAACTTACACAACAGCCTCCACCTCTTTGGGAAGTCTTGGAGACGTGCAGCCCAGAATCTCCCCAGGTGACAGGGGTTTGCACTGTGGGACACTCACACGATACTCAGCTTTCAGCTCCTGGGCAGCTGCCTGTAGGGACAATGGGGAAAGAGAGCCAGGGTCAGAGGAACAGTCTGGAGCACCTGGCGTGGGCATCCAGGAAGAGCCTGGAGAGCGGCCGCTGTCGCCCCCACAGGATGCCGGGCCTCCTCATACCACTTACCTGCAAGGTTGACACAAACTGAATGGTGCTGACCAGGGCAAGGGCACTGGCTGGGGGAAAGGTGAAGCGGATAGAGTCCAGTAGGTGGGTAGTGTCTATCCGGATGTCCACAAAGACATACAGCACCCGGAAGTCTTGGGCTGAGGTGTCCATGGGAACTGGGAGGAGGAAAGAGTTTCAGGAGACTTTGTTTTGGAAGACAGGAGAGATAGAGGACCTTGGCCTGGCCTGGATCAAGGTCTCTAAGCAGCCAGAACGAGTGGCTTCAACCTGGGTGTAGAATGCATAGGGGAGGAGGGGGTCACAGATCCCCTAGAAGTTCCTTCTCAATCAGGCTCCTCTGTCACTCGCCAGGGGCCCAGCCCGCTCTACCACTAACAGCCTTTCAAACACCCGCATCTGGGACAGCAGCACAGTTTCCAAGGCAACGAAATTCAAAGGAAAGATCCACCTGCAGAGCAAGAAGGCTGGGAAGGCCATCCCAGAAACCAGAAGGGACCTTGTGCCTGTGAGCAGGACAAGAAGGCACTTCGATGGAGGTTGGTGTGCAGCCTAACTCCTTGCCAGCCCTACCAGGGCCCGGGTGTCCTGACCCACCATACCTAGGCAGCTGTGTCCATAGTGCACCAAGAAGTCAGCTCCCAGGGCTCTTGCAGTAAAATCATCCACACAGCAGGCCCCATAGGTCACATCACCCATCACCATCACTTCAGCCTCTGTGAACCTGTGGAGGTGGGGGTGGGGGACAATGTGACAGTGACACAAAGAGCGAGGTGGAAGAGAGAGCTAACGCTGTGGAGGAATCTCAGGGCCCAGCTCCTCTTTCCCTACCTCTACCAATTCCTTGGGTTGGCAGCTGCCACTTCTGCCTACAAAGAGTAGGAGGGGCACAGCTGCCACCTTCCTCAGCCCTGGCAGCAGCTTCTGGAATGTTGCTGCATGAGAATGGTCTCTGTAGCACCCCGATTCCTCTGCCCAGGCTGAGACTGCAAGAGGGACCCTCAACCATCAGCCTGCATACGTGGGGTCAAACACAGACCCCCAATGTCCTGTCTCATCCCACCCAGAGCAGTGAGCATGCACACACATGCAAAGGTACCCACTCCCGTGCCCTAGCATCGTGCTGTGGGTGGGCATGGATGTATGCACGCACAGCCTCCCTCTCGCCCAGACCCCCACTACCTCCCCACCTATAGGCAGGGCCCAAGGTCCACAGGATGGGGGGACCCTTACACAGCTCCCCCACAGCACATGGCACCAACCCACACACCTCATGCGTCAGGAAGAGTGGGCTCTGGCCAGCACATTGCCATGGGATCTGCTGCCAGGCCTGAATCACTGGGGGGGGAGGGGAGTGACAGGTGGGTGGGGAAGACCCTGCACCTCCTGAACATGCCACAGGAGTGGAGCAGGAGAACCAGCTCTTCCCCAAAAGAGACCACACCTGGGGTGTGGGGCCTGGCTCAGTGACTGGGGTCCCACCATTCTTCCCCTGGGGGTGTGGTGGGGGAAGCTGAGCTGCTACCAGTCAGCCCTCTCCTCCACCCCCTTCCTCAAATCAGGCTGTGCACAGAAGCAGATTATTCAGCTCCTTAGAATGCAGCCCAGGCATCTGAGTCAGCCAGAGCACTTAATTTTTTATAGATTAAAATGTATGCAAATTGGCCTGAGCCCCAGAGAGTATCCCCAAGGGGCAAGAGGGTGGGAGCAGGGAAATGAGTCTGTGGCAGTGGGATGGGGGAGCAGGGTCGGGGGAGAGCAGCAGCAGGGAAGTGGGAGGTTCCCAGCACGAGATGACCTCCCCTTTCTTCATTCCCCCTCCCTGTTCCTGTGCTGGTTCCAGAAGGCTGAGCGCTCACCTCCCCCCCTCCCCAAGGATGGCTCATTGTACTGAAGAATCTTAAAACGAGGGGAGGAAGGGGAACTGAATACCTTCTCCTAGGCACCTCTCTCCCCTGCCAAAACCATCCTTGCCCTACTCCCCCAAATGTGCTAGAGAAAAAGGTGTCTCCCAGCCAGACCCCTCACTGACCATTCAGCTCATTTCAGGGTCAGCTCTAAGAATTCTTAGGCTCCTCCCCAGTTCCTACCACTTACTCTGGGCCTAGCTTTGGAAATACTGGAATTAACTTCTTCCTCTCCCAGGTTTTTAGGGGAGGGGAGATTTATAGGACAAACACGGATCTCAGCAAGCTGAGAGTTTTGTTTGGGGGTGTTTCCCTTAGTGTGTGTGTGGTTGTGGGAGAAGGGGGAAGGTACAGGTCCAGAAAGAAAAAATGATGCCAACAGAAAGGGCTGTAATGGGCATGGGGAGGGTCTTGGTTCAGCTCCCTCCCCAGTGCCCCAAGCCTCACCTTTCCAAGATATCCACAATGGTGCAGGCGAAGAGAAGGAGGCCTTCAGGCATTTGCAAGGCCACTGCAAGACAGAGCAGAGACATGGGAGGCAGAGGGCTAGGAAGAGGCTGGGATGGGGATACTACCCTCTGTCTGGGCCAGGCAACCTCTCAACCCCAACCTCAGCTCAATGCTTGGGAGCTCACCCTTCTTGGCCTGGGCTTGTTGGATCCTCCAGATGGTCTTGGGGATCTCAAAGTTGTAGTTGGAAGGCAGAACCTGGATGGCTGCCTGCAGCTGGGGGTTGTTCAGGATCTCAGGGGGGATCTGATTGGCCAAGCGGCCCCGAGGGGCCCGACCTAGGGCAAATATAAGGCCTGAGTCCATGTCTGGTCTAGACAACTAAAAGACCCAGCTAAGCTGTTAATTCCACCAACTTTAAGGCCCAGATCCCAGTCATCAAGGGGGTTAGTCCAGCTTTCTTCCCCACTGAATTCATCCTGAAGGTAGAGAGACAACCCATTAAACCAGGAGGAAATCTGCATATTTAATGTCCATGTTGTGAGATTACTGGGAATCAAAGACCGGAGCCCATAAATGGGGTATGACTCACTCCTTACCTCAGGAGAGTAGAGGTGACACCAGGGGACTGAGGGGCAAAGGGAGTGTCTGAGTCCACACAACTGCTCCTTGATATAGAACAACTCTGTAGAAAACCCAAAAGCCTACCCAGCCCAACCAGTCCAGGAAAATGCCCCACTTCTTGACACACTGAGAACATCTTGAAGCTTCAAGGTCCTAGATATGAGATCTATAAGCAAAGTGTTATAAGCACAATCTAAAAGACTGCACCCCTTACTCCAAGTTCCACTGACTATGCTCACAATGGTTAATTCCCGCATTCCTCCCTCTCATTTAAAAGAGAAATAAACGTCATACATTGTTCCTCCTTACCTCCACCCCAGAAAGGATGGAAAGAACACACTGTAGTCAAGACTGTGGACATATAGATAAGGACAGAAAAGCGACCTTTCCCTTTAGGAGCTAGCAGTCTAGTGGGGGTAAAGACAAGTATACAAATAAGCACAACTGCTTGAATAAACGAGAAAACATTGTAGCCTTTACTCTGCACTTGTCCCACTCCCCACAATTCAGCTTAGTTCCCAGTTATCTCTTTAGGGGCCAAATAATTTGGGGATGCAAAAAGTCAAGAAATAAATGTATTCAGTGAATATTTACTGAACCTGTACTACATGCCAGAACTTCTGCTAGGGCCCCTCACAATGATAGGAGGGATCCTTGCAGACCTGAGCCTTCATCCACTAGGTGTTTGGGGTGGGTGGTGGTGGTACAGTGGAGAACTAGCCTGGCAGACTAGGGCCCTGAGACCAGATTCAAATGTCATCAATGCTACGGTTTGGGGTCAGCTGTTTCAAAGGCTTTGGACAACCAGCCCAGCCTCCCTGGGTCCCTGGCAGAACCTCCTTTGACAGGCCCAAGTCCCTAGTGGTCGTTGGGATGTGGAGCTGCTAGCTTTAGCAGCTCACTAAGTCTCCTGGGCCAGTAGACCCCTCCTTTATCACGTGGTTGTGATCTTCTGTTTACATCAGTATTCCCTGGTAGACTGTGAGATTCCCTAAGGGAGGGGCTGTATTTTAGTCCCTCCGCCTAGCGCAGTCCTGGCATTCAGCGGGCGCTCAGTTAACTCTGGTGAGTGAAACCATGTGCCTCTTCCCAGGAAGCATTCCCCGAGGACCCACTCGTGAAATGCCTGTGGCAAAAGACCCGGTCCCTTCCCTCCCTGTCGGGTCCGTCTCATCCGCCAAGCTTCAACCGGCCAAGGCAGGGGGGTAGTTTCCTACTTGAGGACTACAAGCTCCTTGGAGGGGCGGCTGCTCTCGATCGCGCTTTAAGCCTGCAAAAGGAAAGACCGGGCCCACTGGGCTCCGTTGACAGCGGTCCAGAGCAAGTAACAGCGGGGACTTCCAGATCTGGCCCAGAAAGGCGCCGTCGCTGTCAAAGGGGGCTGGTCCTGTCCTTGACTTGGGGGCCCCACCCAGAGATGTGAGGTCCGGAGGCCGCAGCGTTGCAGCACCCACCTCTGCTAGGGCCGGTTCGGCCGCTCTGCTCCGCCGCCTCGGACACAACCAGGGCCGCCATCACCCGCCTGCCCACGTGGGACCAAAAAGACAGCGCTGGAAGAGCGCCGAGAGCACAGACATTGCGATCGATCGCCGATTGGTCAGCGAGGGGCGGGGATTCTCGCTGGGCGGGGACCATCTCGGCCCAGAAGATCCGACTCTCAGGATCCCCTAGTGGTCGCCGACCACCATGGTTGTCCTCTCCCCAACCGTTCCCACTTCCTTTCTGATCTGGCCCGACCCTGGCACTCTGGGACCAGTGCTACCCCAGGCCGAGTCTTGTGAATGGGGACGCCTGCCAGGTCTTCCTTCAGCTTTCCTCCGTGTCTCCTCTCCTAGTAGCAGTGCTCAGCTGGAGGCGTGTTGGTGGGGCCACATTCCCTACCAGAGGACCCCACTGCTCGGGCAGGACAGAACTCTAGGCCTACCAGCCCAACTCCAAATTGAGACTCTTGGTGCAGATTTGCAGAGGGGCCCCCGGTTCCCTTGTCGCCTTTGGAATCTACGGTTTGGAAAGCCCACATGGGAGAAACTGTCGCTCAGGGGAAGGCCTGGTGGCTGAGGGTGCTTTCCTGGGAGGGTGGGGCAGCCTGAGGACTCCATTGCTTACTTAAACCTTCTGGATGCTGGCCAACCTTTGCCCTGCCTAGGCTGCCTCTCAGGCCCAGATAGCCTTTCTCCTGATCAGTGGCCAGAGCTCCTGGGACTCCAAAGCAGAGATGAGACAGCCTTGCCTTTGGAAGAGCAAAGTACCTGCAGGACTGGACCCCAGCAAAGTCTGTTGCAGAGCAATGGTCCCCCAGGGCTGTTTGCCCACCCAGCCCCTGGCACTACCCTCCTCTCTTTGTTGGTGCTATGAGCACAGTTGGTCCTTTAAGGAAGCTCTGTGGCCTCAGGCTCCCTTGCGGCCCTTACTGCTTGGAAACCCCTAATTAAGGTGCAGGGAGAAGTGAAAACAAGCAGCCAGGGACAGGCACTGCCTGGGAGGCTTCCCAGAGAGGAGGGATGGCTAGTTAGGCTGGGAGTGAGCAGCCAAGGAGAGGATCAGGAGGGGTCAATGCTCTGACCCTCTGGCCACGGGCACTCTTAGACAATTATAGCTTTGGCCAGGAATGGGCCAACATGTGTCCCAGGAACATCCTTCTCACCTTGATAAGAGTCTAGCCTGGAGTTTTCTATCCTTTCCAGCTTCTCTGGACCTCCAGGGTGCAGGATCTTAATTCTAGGAGCCCACCGTGAGCAGCTTTAGGCCTGGTTGCAAGCTGCGAATTCCAATGGAGAAAGACTGGCTGCACCAGAGCAGTGGCTTCTCCCTAGCAGGCTCGCCATCCCTTAGGACCTCAGAGGTGGGGCCTGTTGATGAGGAAGGCCCCATCCTCTCATAACATTGCCCCATGGCTTCTGTGGTGAATGAGCTGCACTGGCCTCCATTAGGAAACCAAGTGATGCCTAGGAGAACTGGGTGTCAGGAACAGATGTGAGAATGCTCCCCACGACCCTGCAGTGCAGGACATTGGGGGCTGCCATTCAGCTTGGGTAGAGGACACCTCTATCTGTCCGCGGGGGTCTCCCTGCCTGTTACTCAGCAGTCTGAGTAATTACTGCCTGACAAGAAGGCGGGCACAGTGCACCCCCACATTACACCACAACACCCGCCTACAGTCACCCCCACCCCATGGCTGGACTCCAAGACAGCACCCAGCCCTCCTGAGGCCTGAAATAACTCTGCTTCTCACACTCATGCCCAGCCCAAGCCAACTTTGCCTAAGATGCTGGATGTTTGTGGGGCAGGGGGTCATGGGAGGTGGCTTGGGGAGATGGAAGGAGGATGAGCATACCACACTTTACCACTGATCTGCTGTGTAACATCGAGCAAGTTGTTCAACCTCTCTGGGCCTCGGTTTACTTACAGAGGGTCTCTGCAGCTCTTAGTGTCATAAAGTTCAGCTCTGGTATCTGCCTGGCAGGGTTTAGGAAGGGTGTGGGGTCAGCACAGTCGTGCAGCTGGTGGAGTGGAGGTTCAGAGATGGGACGCCTCACCTTCCCTTCCCACCCCAAGAGGGACCAATTTTATTAATCTTCAGAACAAGGTTACTTCTCACTTCAAGTGTTTGCACATTCTCTCCTTCCTGGAATGTCCTTTCCCCTTCTCAGCCCTATGAACTCAGCCCTCAAGACCTAAGTGCAAGGGCACCTCTTCTGTGAATGTTTCCTGATTTATCCTTCACTCCCTTTCAGAGCTAGCAGAACCCCCTCACATTACTTCTGTCACATTCTAAGATGGTTTCTGGGTCTTTTTTTCTCTCACTACGCCATAAGCTTCTGGAAGTTCAAGCTCAGCCTGGAGCCTCAGTGTCATTGAATGCGTGTATGAGTGACTGAATGATACTGGCCTTCTTTTTGGCCTTCCTGTCACGCCAAGTTATCCTCCAAGGAGGACTTCAATTAGATCTCTGCTTAGATGTCACCTCATGTCAGCACCAGAACAATACCCTTCTTGCTTTTCTTCCAAGCACCATCTCATATGGACTTTCTCCATTTGGCCGCTATCAGAATGGAAACTCCACGAGGACAGGGATCTTGTCTTTGTCACTGGTTTAATTTCAGGGAATAGTAGTGACCCACACACGGTAAACTCTCAGCAAATGTGTATGGAATGAGTGACCTGGACCACTCTTTTCCCTCAGAATCTCTCTTATCCCAGGCCAGTAGGGGGTGCTGGCCTCCACCCAGGATCTTGCCTGGCCCAAACCCTCTCTACACTCAGCCCAACGTTCCCCTGCAGGACCCACTTTCTAAGCGGTACCTCCTCCGTTTCCCGCGAATCCCCGGGAGGGGTCTGTGTGGACCGCGGGAGGTCAGAGGCCCCCCCAGGCGGAGAGAGCCCACTTGTGTCCCGCAATGGTCTTTCCCTTTCTGTGGGATTTGCAACTGGGCCTCTCCGAATGCTCGCTGCCCCTTACCTCCCCCCAAAAGCACAGTGTCCTGGGACGCAGGATGCGGGGCGGCTGGGTTCGCCTGAGCTGTTGTGGGCGGAAAAGAGCCGTCGAGCCTCCGAGGAGGAAGGGGCGCTGGCCAGGGAGGAGATGGGGCAGGGGTACGGACTTGTGATCCGGACTCTGGGCGGCGGTCCTCCCGTCCCAGCCGGTCGGCAGGACGCGCCCTTCCAGCAGCCTCTCCCTATGACCTCCATCCGCGAAGGGCGAGCGGGCGGGGACTGGGCTGCGGGCGCGGGCTCCGGGAAGCCCGCGGGGCCGGGCAAGGGAGTGCGAGTGGCCAGACGACCGGTCCGGGGGCTGGGGCAGGTACTTGGACAGATGCTGGCCGAGGATCGTCCCCGGGGGCGGGCGCAGCGAAAACACCTTGGGAGGCGGCGCCGCGCGGTGGAGCGCCGCTGCCCTGGGAATAGGACGGCGCTCGGCACCGCGAGCTGAGAGCACTTTCATAAATTTTGTATGGGAGGCGCTCGGTGAGCGGGGGCGGGGAGCGGAGCGGGAGGGAGGGAGCTAGCGAGCGAGGGAGGGAGGAAAGAGCAGGAGGGGTGGGGGAAGCCGGGGGGAGGAAGGGAGGCGCCCGGCTCCGCTGATCTCCGGGTCCTGCAAACGCGCGCCGGGCGCTCTCCCCGGAGCTCGGCGGTGCGTGTGAGCACCCTTTTGCAGCGGCAGCGGCGGCTGCGGCCCGAGGGG